TGTCCAAAATAACTCAAGCAAATAATTTAGAGTGATCTCAGGTTGGTAGTGCCCCCCCCCCTACCCCCCGGCAACTCATAAAAGTAAATGCAGATCCTCTCTGGAGGAACTCAACTTCAATCTAGGCCTCAAAGGAATTCCACAGATAAAGGTCCAAAGAAAATGATTGACTCACAGATAGATGGCACAAGAAAACAATGCACTTTGAATAAGAACCAGCAGAAATAATATGCAGTAGACATAGACCGGCAATCTTCAGATACTGCAGTTATCTGACACAGATTCTAAAATTACTAAGTCTTATAAGTTTAAAAAAACAAACAAGAGGTTCTAAAATAGGTAAGAATTTCAAGTCTTTTGGGCTCAAAAAGAATCAAATAGAACTTCCAAAAAATGAAAAAGGAATACCATATTGTGCTGACTATAAAATAAGATTGTAAGATGCAGCATAATTTTATGGGCCATCAAAAATACTGCCAATTATCATTCAAGATGCCACTGATTATAAGATGCTCCTGGATTGCAGGGGTGTTTAAATCTGAGAGAAAAGTTGTTTCAGAACTGATGAACTATATAAATTGAAAGTTAAAAATCTAGCAGATTGATTAAATTACAGATTAAGCTCAGCTGATGAGAGAATCAGTTAACCGGACTAAAGAAACAGTATTCAATATAAGTAAATTATCCAGATTGTAGCCCAGAGAGACAATGAAATAGGAATATGATAGAAAGACTACATCTTAGAGGATAGAATGAGAGCACAAAACATATACCTAATAAAATTCCAGAAGGTAATAAAGAGATTGGGTAAAAGCCAATGTTAAAAAGTATAATGATTGAAAAATTTATGAGAATAGTGGAAAGATAGCTATCCCCAGGTACAGGAATCCAATCTCAAGCAGGATAAACCAAAAGAGATTTGTACCTAGACACATTATTATGTATCTGAAGCATACATGAAGATAAAACTGCAGAACATCAAAGAGGTCTTCAAAGCAACCAGAGGTAAGATCATGTACTAAAGAACAGTAAATAGACTAATTGATTACCTTGTAACTGCGAAAGTGGAAGCTAGAAGACTGTGGGATAATGTTTTCAGTGTGTTGTGAGAAAAACAATAATCAACCTAGAATTTATTCAAGAATTAAAGCAAATAAAGAATTTTCAAACAAATAAAAAGAGAGCGCTTTTTTTTTCACTAAAGGAAACATTTAAATATATACTTCAAGTAGGAGGAAAATGACCCTAGATACAAGGAATATTCTTCTAAGGAGGAAGATCAAGAACTCTTTAGAGTTGAAAGATCTCTACTCTTCATGGGAAAAGTTTGCTTACCTTTCATGGGTCTTGCTTTTACATCTTTTGGCATTCTTACTTTCATGCCAACCCAGTGAGGCATTAAGAAAAGTTGTATTTTATCTAGCATTTTACTTATTTCATTTGGGCAGGGTTGATCAGGTATATGGCAGGAGGTGAAAGTCCTTCTAACAACTTCTTTAGAGTAACTCTCCCTGCATCTTCAGTCTATATGGAATCTATGCTACCTGTCCTTCTGGCACATTGTACCTTCCCCTTGTAACACATACATCAGCTATATTTTCACATTTATTTGTACGCTCTTTCAATTGTCTACTTACCCCAATAGAAACCTAAGGGCCAGATCTGTATCACTCTATTTTATTTCCACACCTTAGCAAGTGCTTGGCCCATAGTAGGTATTCAGTAAGCATCTATTGAGTAAATAGTGTCTACTTAATTAGACATTGTCTAATGTCTAATTAATGTCTACACATAAAAATTAATTAATGAGTAATTAATTTTGAGTGAGAAGCCAGTGTTAGGTATTAAACACAGCTGTGTGTGTCTGCTTCAGATCCAGCCATGGAGGCAGTACTTAGGGCTGGTGAATTCTCACAGAACTGTGCTGTCTTATAATACGGCACTCATTAGCCACATGTGGCCATTTAAATTATTTAAATCAACTAAAGCTAATTTAAAATTGGAATTCCTCAGTCATGCTAGCCACTGGTGGTTATCCTATTGGATACTGCAGACGTAGAACATTTCCATTATCACAGAAAGTTCTATTGCATGTGCTGCTGTAGAATTCTCAAGAATTCTTAACTGTGCCTCTGTCTCTCTTTTGCTCTTGCTCTCGATCTATCTCTGTCTCTTTCCCCACCCCTAAAGCAAGTGCAGGGGTTGTCTTATTATTAGTGACTTATAATGATGCTTTTGAACAAGAAGATGCTGGGTACTTTGGGTGACTAGTACCATCCCACTGTTTTTCTTTTAAATTCCTGACCTATTGTTTACTAGTATATTCTTTTATTCCAAATTTCTACTGACGCTGAATGTTACTTGAGTAGAAAGTCTAATTGCTTTCTTTTCTAGGTCCTTAAACTCTTTGCTAATGTTTCAGTCTGAGAGTTCTCAAAGCCAGGGTTCTAGGAGAGTTTGGCATGTCTGAACAGCTGAACTGCGAGATAATGGAGTAGGTCCGGTGGGGTGTGGGAGCAGGGCATTCTCTCCATAAAAGAGCTCTCCTCTCTGCACACATGGCCGGTTAATTGGCCATTCTGGGAAAGCATGGATGGGGAGGGGGGCTTCTGAGAATTGCCGGTGACAGTTAAGTGGCCTTTTGTTGATGTCCTCTGCTGAACAACTTTGTTGGATTTAGTCTCTGCCTTTCCTCCACCTCCTGTGGATTTTCTGTTAGATTCATCATTTACCATTCAGGCATCATCTTTCACTTTCTCCTTCTAATATGATTGCTTTGTATGCTGGACTCTGCTTTATTCATACTGTTCCCAGACCATAAAGGGGGCTGTGTGGGGCTTCAGCAGACTGAGAAATTGACTCTGCTCTCTGTTGAGAACTATAATAATGACTGCAGTGACCTTCATGTCTAGCAGAAAATGCACTACCTATCCTGGCATAATGGTGACCACCTGAAGACAGCGAAAAGGGACCCTTCACTGAATTCCTTCTCATAGAATAGACATTTCCTTTGTTCCTCGCTCCATTTTCTTCTCTCCCCTTCTCTCCACTGCAGCTAGAGTCCTGACCTAAGATGCAGCTGTGACTAAGAGCTAATGCTTTGAGATAATAAGACCTTCTATTTTGCAGGCTTTGCCAAGCCAGTTCCCCCAAGTTGTCTCATCTAATATCCCCCAGAAAACCCTGTGAGGTAGGGAGGGGAGATATTATTAACCTATTTGACTGATGAGTAAATTGAGACTTAGAGAGACTAGGTCAGTTGCCCCAGATCTTTTAGACAGGAAGTGAGTGCCCAGCTCTGTCTAAAGCCGGTGTTGTTTCAATGGCATCCACACCTTTATGTTCAAGGATCATATGTGTATGTGGATGGGGAGGGAGAAGGAGCACAAAGAAGAGATTAGCAGGAGACTGGAAAGGAGCGATTTCCTTGGGCCTATGACTTCTCTCAGTCTTTCCCTGGAGATGGAGGATTCGATATTCACGAGAGGCTGGCCCAGTAAACCTCTGGGAAGGAAAACAGCTAAAGGCCTTGACTTCCTCTTTCCCTACCCCTGCCCCCCCGCACCCTCCCAGGAGAGGACTCGCCTAGAAGTGGGGAGGGACGCCCCACCTCTGGAAGGCCTGACGTGGGAGTCCCACGCAGGGACTCCCCAGAGAGCCTAACGCATGTTCTCTGCTGGGCCTGCCGGCGTTTAGGTGCTCTGCTCTCCTGAGGTCCGGCCATGCCTGTGTGCAAGGAAAACAGCTGAAGTTCGCCTGGAGGAAAAAGCATGCAGAGTTCCCCTGGAGGAGGCGTGGCTCCCAGGTTGTCCCCTGTGGGCAGGCGGATACTCCTGGCCTGCAGCTTTATCCTTGCAGCAGCTTTGGGCCAGATGAATTTCACAGGGTGAGTGGCTGCTCCTTAGTGGGAGAGAGGATTGCCGGGAGCCAGGTGACTTGGTGGCCCAGCAGGACCTGATCAGGGCAGAGGGATTCAGGATTTCATTTCCCATCCTGAACCCACTTCTTACTCCTTCCCCTCCCAATTTCATGTGTGAGGGCAGGGCGTGCAGCTGTCTTATTATTCCTCCCCAAATCTAGAGTTCTTAGTCTGGATGAATCCCAAGAATCCCCTGAAACCATGTGTAAAATTTTGTGTGTATCTACTTTTCTCCAGCGTTCGTAACTTTCCTCTGATTCTTTAAAAAGTCATAACCCCCCAAAGACTATGTGTTCCTAGTGTGTGGGTGTGGTATTGTCCTCCTTTGAGTAAAATTAAGTACGAATATTACATATCAGGCCCTCTGCAGACATGATTTCTCAGCCTTCCAAAGGTCCCGCAAAGTGAGCACTCCATAGTATTTCCATAGTGGAGAAGAGAAGACGCAAGCTTGGGGGGTGGGGGGGGTTCATCATCCAGGGTATCAGAGCTGGTCAGGGAGGGAGCCATGGCCATCCCCGGCTCAGACCCCAGAAGTCACACTGCAGGCTGCTCAGTTACCCCGGCTCCCACCCCCTCCAGGGGGACAGGAAGGGGCTCAGCTTCCACCTGTGAGGTAGGGTGAGATCCATCTCTTCTACGTCCTCCAGCTCTTGGGAGAAGGCAGGGGGGCACAGGGTTGGGGCAGACATGGCCTGGACCCTTGTATAAAGAGTACATGGGGCCACCATCAGTACCTCAACTCCCTGTATCCTTTTCTCTCCTTCATTCCTATTTTTTCTTCCTCCCTTCTCTACCACCACATTCCTTATCCATCCTGTTTCCCCTGTCTTGGCATTGGGTTCATCAGCAGCACTGAAAGGCTTTATTGAGTTCCCAGGTGGCCTATCTTTGGGTCTGGAGAGACCCCTTGGCCTCAGGCTTTTGGAGCTTCCCAGAGCTACAGGTCCTTCTGCTCAGGGGTCCTCTCACCTTCCAGCTCTCCTGCCAGGTTCTCTTTTCCACTCTGTGTCCTCCAGGCAGCACAGCCTTTCAGGAACCCCTCTGAGAAGCTCCCTCGGTCCCCTCTGTGTCTTTCCAGTGACCAGGTTCTTCGAATCCTGGCTAAAAATGAGAAGCAGCTTTCACTTCTCAGGGATCTGGAGGGCCTGAAGCCACAGAAGGTGAGAAATCTGCGGGGCTTGGGGCCAAGTCCTCTTCTCCCTCACAGCGGCCTGTACCCTCGGTTCCCTGTCCCATTTCCTCCACCCCAGACCTGGCCCTCTGGGTGTGCCTGCCAGAGATGACAGCGCTGGGGGAGAATCAAGCGTGGCTTCTCTTCAGGAGAAGCTGGGAACACTGGCCCAGAAGGTGGGACAGCCCTGCTTGGCTTTCCCCTCTGCCCTGTAAGGGAGGGCTGCTCTGAAAACGCTGGAAGGTCCTAAAGTCACATGAGAGGTGCATGAGTCTCTGGGTGGGATGCCATGCCGCATGCACGGGACACATCTGCTTCCCAACTGAAATGGCTTAGCTTGGCAAACCTGTTTTATTTGGGCTCGTCCCTCAGCCTGAGCCCTGGTTTCTGAGAATGTGTGTCCTCCGCAAGTATTCCACTAGGCAAGACGTTTTCTTCAATACAGAAGGGTTTGGTCTGGGGACTGTTGAAGCAACCAGATATTTCTGGATGTGCCCCAAAGCCCACCATCCTATTTGTCTGAGTGCCCCCATCAACCAGGACTCAGCACACTTCACAATAATTCTTTCCATTTTACAGACTGAAAATCGGACAGCACAGGGCTCCGGATGGGGCCTCTCCTACCCCTCTGGGGCTCGGGGGCAGTGATGTTTCCCTCTTCTCCCCAGTGTTCTTGACCATGTGAATGTCCCAGCTGATAAGCCATCTCACCTTTAGAAAACTATTGTGGGCTCTTTGGATCTGGGTGAGGTTACAGGGAGTGAGTGAGGCTGGGAGACAGAGGTGCTTACTTAGCATCAGGGAAGGAAACTCCATGACCTGGGGGTTTTGTTTGTCTCCCTCTTTCTGCTCTGCCTTACGCCCTTTCAACCATATAAGAGAAGATCATCGGTTCTCTGGGTGCCTGCAGGATGTGTGATACATGTGCCTATTGTTTTTTCTCCTTTGTGACCAAGGTGGACTTCTGGCGCGGCCCAGCCAGGCCCAGCCTCCCTGTGGACATGAGGGTTCCCTTCTCTGAATTGAAAGACATCAAAGCTTACCTGGAGTCTCACGGCCTTGCTTACAACATCATGATAAAGGACATCCAGGTGAGGTCCTGTCCCAACACTGAGGCTGAAGGTCTCACCTTCACATCCCTTGCAGGTTTGGGCCCAACCTGGAGAAAAAACACCCAAGGCTAAAATGGATGTTTTCTTTCTGGAGTTCCATCTGCATTTTTGTGAACCTTCCAGGGAAGGAATGAAACCTCACACTAATCAAAGAAAATTTAAATCTAAAAAAGATCTTTCTAAAAAATTTAAATGTAAGAAAAATCTAAGAAAGAGTTCATAATTCACAGTGTGGTAATGTCAGGGTAGCTTGTGGAGTCCTCTTCAATGAAAAAAAAATTTTTTAACTTTATACAGTTTTAAAGGTTGCTTTCCACTTATAGTAACTACAAAACTTATTGGCTGTATGCCTTGTACACTACGTCGCAGGGCCTATCTTATACTCGCACTCACACTTCTCCCCACTCCTCTGCCTCTGTCTTGTTCCCTTGCAGTCCACTAGCTAACCATCAGTTTGTTCTCTAGATCTGCGAATCTGCTTCTCCTTTGTTATATTCACTAGTTTGTTGTGTTTTTAAGAGTTCTCTTATGGAGGCATCTGTAGTGCATGGCAAAGGAGAAGACAGGGAGAAGGGAGGCAGGAGGGAGTCGCTCAGGTCTCTCCTAGGCGCTGAGGGCGGGGAGGGCTCTTCTGGACGGCTCCCTCTGCTTTTCTGACTGCGCCTTCCTGTCCTGGTGTGTCTCACCCATTCGATAGCAGGGAATTCCTTCACTCCAGAGAAGCAGGAAGAGCTGCGCCAAGACGCTCCTGTGAACCCTGCTGTGGTTCCCTTCCTGCCACCTCCAACGCCGGCTCTCAGTACCGGGCGTCTCTCCCGGGCAGGACTCTCCCAGAAGAACAGTTCTGGGAGAAAGTGACTACAGACCTGCCCTTGGTGAGGGTGAAGGGAGACTTCATTCCAGGCACCCCATTCTCTCCCCACCCTCACTGGTTGCTGCATCTTAACGGCATCTTTTCTGAACATCATGAAATTCTGTTTTAATTGATCTGTCTTCCAGAATACCCCCAAGGAGCCTCTTTCCTAAAATGATTCTTGTGGGGCATCCCTGGGTTAGACCTCTCTGGCTGCACCCCTCTGCAGATGCTGTTGTGTACCTGCAGATTTGTATGCACACAGGTTCCTGCCCAGCCATGTTGTGCTGCCGCTAGTCTCCTCTATGGGCTCTGAGTGTGGGAACACACAGTCCCCGGAGTGCACACACTCACTGCCTGCCAGGGGATAAACGCATTAGGTGCATTCCTTTTCATGCAAGCACAGGGCTGGGGCACTCTGGTCCATTCAAAGACCTTTCCTCCTCCTCAGGCACATCTGTTTCCTGTTTCCTACTCAACATATGGGAGTAGGCTCTTTGCCCAATAAAATCCCCCACAAACATAAATGGGGAAACTCCCGTAGACAAGAGAGACTACCACATCAAAAAATTCAGTGCTCAATTCTCATTTTCGCCCGTGCCTGCATTTCAAAGTTTGCATTTCCCTGCGTCTGCCCTGCCCTGGAGACTCTGCATTATTTGGCAAACAGATATGAAGAGGTCTCTAAAATTTTTCTGTTGATTTCTGTGTATCAGGAGTGGCCCCAGAGGCACCTGGGAGTCTCCCTGCATCACTGGCTCCTCCGGGGCTGTCCTCTCCTGTCACCCCCAGTCCTGGATTCCCTTTAAGGATAGGGAAAGAGGAGCTTTTCACTGCCTCTCGGTAGAATGCCCTGGACTCTCGGTGCTAACCCAGTCAGGCAGGATTTTCACCAGCAACTTGCTCTGTCTGCGATGCATCAAGCTCTGATTGTCGTACTTGAGATCACATTTTGGCTTCCAGGAAGCTGGGGCTGGGGGGGAGGCTGCTGTTTTAGTTGATTTGTGGTGATGATGGGGAAGGTGTCCATGAGGAGGGAAACTCAGAGGCGTTAACAGGAGGGAAGGGCTTTGCACCACTCAGGTTGCTGGCCTCCAGTCTCATGGTTTAGTTATTGACGCACAGGCCCAATTGCTTTCTGTCTTCTGGACCTTCTCACCCCAGTGTTTGGCATAGTGTCTCCTGCACGGGACCCCCAGTAACTGTGTGCTGAACGAATTGCTTAATTGGCAAGTTCAGGAAAAACGTTTCCAGAGAGACCTGGTTAATACATTGGTCTTTGTCTCAAGAGTCCCCTCCCCAAACCCCTCAAGGTATAGAATCATTTGCCTTATCTGTCTTTATACCCCAGCATCTACCATAGGGCCTGCCATTTAGGTAGGACTTAGAAAATGGCTTCCCTGGTAGCTCAGCTGAAAAGAATCTGCCTGCAATGCAGGAGACCCTGGTTCGATTCCTGGGTCGGGAAGATCCCTTGGAGAAGGGATAGGCTACCGCCTCCAGTATACTTGGGCTTCCCTGCTGGCTCAGACAGTAAAGTCGGACATGACTGAGTGACCAAGCACAGCACAGCGCTAGTAAATGTTAGTTCACTTAATGGTTGTGAGAAGGAAAGGAAAGAGGGTATGTTTGCTGGTTAGTACCAGGCTGAGAGAAAGTGTGAAAAACCTTGATCCCAGCTTTCACCTTGGCCGGAGATACTGGAGATTTTTGAGGAAGGGAAGTGCCCCCTACTCCCTCCTGTCTTGTGATCAGAAAGATGCTTGAGATAGACTAGGTGGACTCATTCATTCCACCCACAGATACAGAGATGCCAACTGTGTGCTGGGTATTAAGCAAGGTACTGGAAAAACAAAGATAAAGAAATCTAGTCCCTGTATCCAGGGGAGCTGGAGTGCTGTGGGGGTGGGGAAGCGGAGGGGAGTAAATCAGTGATTACAATGGAGTGGATGATGCGCTGATGGAGTGGAGCAGGTTGCTATGGGAGCGAGTACAAGAGGCACTGCATGGTCGCTCTGAGGCTCTGAGAAGGCGGCAATTACGGTGTGGCTGAAGAGCAGGAGAAGGGAGGGCTGGGGAGGGGAAGGGGCCCATGATTGGCGATGAGGCCAGACCAGAGCACAAAGGGCACCCTCCACCAGGTGAAAAGGTCGAGAGAAAATCCCGAAAACCGTGGGGGAGCCTTCAGAGGGCTCTGACATGATCAGATTTGCATTTAAGAAAAATCCTTCTGACAGTGACAATGTTGACAGTGTTGAGTTGGGGACAGGAGCAGGGAGAGACTGACAGGCAGGAGGGTGGTGAGGAAATTGCAGTGGGCCAGGAAAGAAATTATCTGATTCTGAGTGAGCTCTATTTGCATTTAATTTTTCTTCACCTCCTCATTCTTTTTAGCCCTTTGGTTTTTTCTTTTTTTTTTCTTGGGATGAGTCACCATGGAAAAGCTTCACTTGAGCAATCAGCTCTGTGGATTTTAATGGCTTTTTTTCTGATTACAAAATTAATAAATATTCATGGTAGATAATTCGGAAAATAGGGGAAAGCACAAAGGAGAAAACAAAAATCACCCATGCTCCAAGCACGCTCTAGAGTAAAATACAATTTAGTGTAAATACTGCTTGGCCAATTTTCCCCTCTCTCCTGGATCATTCCCATTAGCATACAAATATAGAGTTATTTCTCTCATCTTAAAAAGGTCCTCTCTTGATCCCTTCCCCCAACCTCCAGCTATCACCCCACTTCTCTTATTCCAAGAGCAGAACTCCGGGAAATGTTGACTCTACATGCCATCTTCATCCCTCTTCTTGGGTAAATTGTCCACCCCTACTTTCACCCCAATTGTCACACACAGTGTCACACACAACTCCCAGGTTCCCTCAGCAGTTAGCTCTGAGTGTGCATCATTCTTCCAGCTTTTAGCCCGACCCATCACTCTCTCCTCTCTGGAGTTCTGGGACATTGCATTCTCCTGGGTTGTCCCATCTTACTGGCTGCTCCTCTGCCTGTTGTTCTCCTGTTTCCCAGCTCTGTCCTTTGACCTCTTCTCTGTCCCCTCATCCAGGATCATGGAATTGAATACCTCCCACCTCCTGAGCACTCCCCTGTTGGTAGCTCCAGCCAGCCTCTCATATCCGATCTGAACTCCAGGCTCACATCTCTGACCATCTACTTGGCATTTCTACCTGGGTGTCTAATTGGCATCTCAGACTTCACAGGTACAAACCCAGCTCTCCTGGCCTGCTCCTCCACAGCCTCCCCCAGTGCAGCAAATGGCAACGCCGTCCTTTCATCCCTCAGACAAGAAACCTGGAGTCATCCTTGACTCTTTTTCTCACATCCCACAGACAGTTCTTCAGCTCAGTTCAGTTCAGTCGCTCAGTCGTGTCTGACTCTTTGCGACCCCACGGACTGCAGCACACCAGGCCTCCCTGTCCATCACCAGCTCCCAGAGTTTACTCAAACTCATGTCCATTGAGTCGGTGATGTCATCCAACCATCTCACCCTCTGTCGTCCCCTTCTCCTCCTGCCTTCAATCTTTCCCAGCATCAGGGTCTTGTCAAATGAGTCAGCTCTTCGCATCAGGTGGCCAAACTATTGGAGTTTCAGCTTCAACATCAGTCCTTCCAATGAACATTCAGGACTGATCTCCTTTAGGATGGACTGGTTTGATCTCCTTGCAGTCCAAGGGACTCTCAAGAGTCTTCTCCAACACCACAGTTCAAAAGCATCAATTCTTCAGCACTCAGCTTTCTTTATAGTCTAACTCTCACATCCATACATGACTACTGGAGAAACCATAGCCTTGACTAGATGGATCTCTGTTGGCAAGGTAATGTCTCTGCTTTTTAATATGCTGTCTAGGTTGGTCATATAACTTTCCTTCCAAGGAGTAAGCGTCTTTTAATTTCATGGCTGCAGTTACCATCTGCAGTGATTTTGGAGCCCCCAAAAATGAAGTCTGCCACTGTTTCCACTGTTTCCCCATCTATTTGCCATGAAGTGATGGGACCAGATGCCTTGATCTTTGTTTTCTGAATGCTGAGCTTTAAGCCAACTTTTTCACTCTGCTCTTTCACTTTCATCAAGAGGCTCTTAAGTTCTTCTTCACTTTCTGCCATAAAGGTG